GGATTTCATCCACTGATACCTCATTACTCTTTTATTATTATTATTATTGACTTAATTTTTAAATTTATTTCTGAGAGGAAGAGAAAGGGGGAGAGAAGTAGATACATCAGTGATGAGAGAGAATCACTGGTTGGCTGCCTCCTGCACACCCCATGCTGGGGATTGAGCCTGCAATGCAAGAATATACTCTGTCTGCGAATCAAACCCTGACCTCCTGGTTTCTAGGTCAATGCTCAACCATTGAGCCATGCCAACTGGGTTACCACATTACTCCTTTTATCTTTGTATTGATTTCAGAGAGGAAGGGAGAGGGAGAGAGAGATTCATTGATGGGCTGCCACCTGTACGCCCCTTACTGGGGATCGAGCCCACAACCTGGGCATGTGTTCTTGACCAGAATCAAACCCAGAATCCTTCTGTCTGCAGGTTGGTGCTATCAACTGAGCCAAACCAGCTAGGGCCCGCATTCCTCTTAATAGCCACATTTCCTTAGGCTCCTCTTGGCTGTGAGTTTCTCAGACTTTCCCTGCTTTTGATGGCTTTGAGAGTTTTGTAGAGTACTGGTCAGTATTTTGTAAAACATCTCTCTACAGAGCTTTATGTTTTTCTCATAATTAGACTGGGCTTATGAGTTTGGGGAAGGAAGACCACTTCATCACATCATATCAAAGGTACCTGCTATCAAAGTGACCTATCACTTATCACTTAGACCTGGCTAAGGTAGTGATTGTCAGTTTCTGTGCTCTATTGTTTAAATTTGTATTGGGGTGGCATTGGTCAACATGAACATATAGATCTCAGGTGTGAGTTTCTATGTTATAAAATCTGTAAGCTTCTATATTCTAAGGTTACTCCTTTTCCTTCTTTCCATGATGCTTTTGGAAAGAGGTGTGTGGTTGACACTTCAGAAAGAGAGAGCTATGTATATTTTACATGAAAATAAAAGGGAACTTTTATGGTAAAGTGAGGCTAATAATATTTATCTCAAGAACTGTTTTGAGATTAAACGAGATCATTAATAAGAAAATGAATTGTGAGAAACATGAGACATTATAGGGTATTTCTTTTTTCATAGAACCTACAAAAACGTAATCAGGATATAGAAAGGTGTTTTTAATGTTCAAAGGAAACTAAAACAGTTAATTTGGAGAGAGAAGAAAATTAAAGTAACAGATGACTTTGCAGACAACCTTGGAGGTCAGCTATGCTTGGTAGAACATTTACTTACCTTCAATGACTTCTTACCTTGAGCATCTCTCTGCCTGGGGAGTTAATGCCCTGAGAGCAAACCAATAATGAGTAGATATTGATGGGTAAATGCTCCCACCTCCTTGCCCCTTGTTGGGAATATTTCCGGTGTGTTCTGAAGTCTTTGGAGGGCCCTCAGTAGTGTTGAACCAGTTTGCTCACGCCATCACCTGCACAGGAACAAGGTACCATTTACGGTCTCACTTTCCTCCCTTACCATGCTTTCTGCCATCACTCTCCAAATAAAGTATGTGCATCCAAATCCTTGTTGAAGAATTTGCTTTTGAAAAATAAAAAACATCTGTTTTTTCATTTTAATTCAGTTGAGTGGAGATGTAAAACGTATTTTACAGCTACAGGTTTGTGATGGCTCACATTTTATGTCAGTCATTGCTTTTCGTTGTTCTTTTTATAAAGGTAGCATGAGAAATCGGAGAGTAGGGCAGGGAGCAGAAAGAGGAAAAGAGGGGGAGAATTGAAAGCTAAGCTCTTTTACTTGAGTGAATATTTCTGAACAGGGAAGCAGCACTTCTCAAACTGTGAACAGAACTGGTCAGGAGGCCGAGGTGAGAGCACAGTGTGAACCACTAGATGGAAAAAGTAAAAGATAATGTCATCATTGTTCTGACCCAATGTTCCTTTAGTTATACTTTCTCCAACTCTGGACTCCTCTCATCATTGCCTCTCCCGGTCCCCACTCTTCATACTCCCTGAATTCCTCCTCCTTCTCCCCATTTCCCATCCTACAGGGTGACAGATGAGGAAAGGGAAGGAGCTTCGAGCAGGACTGTGCCAAGTGTCCTGCTTTGATTCTAAGTTTTGAACGTGGCTGGGCTGCCTGCAGATCAGCCCTGTATCTACCAAGGCCATGGACAGGCTGGGACCTGAGAGGAGATGACCTCTCATCTCTTCTATCTTCACGGCCATATTTTAAGTCAATGGTCCATTCTCTTTCACCTGAACAAGTACAATAGCCTCCTGGCTAGCTAGTCTCCTCATGTAGTTATAAAGTTGCTTCTGTAGTCCATTTCCCACCATCACAATTATTGTTTACTGAAGTGCAGATCTTATTATTTCATTCTCCTGCTTAAAGCCCTCCTGTGGCTCATCATTGCCTTTAAAATAAAGTCTCAGCCTCCTTATCAAGGCAAATATGATGAGAATCTTGACATCTGCTCTGCTTTACCATGTCATATTTTGACATCTCGTCAAATTCTTTGCTTTAGTCATATTGTACCACTTACAGTCCCTACATGGGTTATGTTCTCTCTCACCTCCAGGACTTCGTGCTTGCTGTCCTTTGAGCTTGCAGTCAGCTTTCCCTACCTGCCTTTAGGAGTCCATCCAATCATTGCCTCTTTGGACCAACTGGTTTGGCTCAATAGATAGAGCACCGGCCTGCGCACTGAAGGGTCTGTGGATTCAGGGCACAGGCCCCGGTTGTGGGCTCAGTCCCCAGTTGTGGGTCATGCAGGAGGCTGCCAATCCATGATTCTCTATCATGGATGTTTCTATCTTTCTCCCCCTGAGGACAGAGACTGATTCTTAGCCATCACTGCAGCCTCAGTACAGAACGCATTCAATAAATATTTCACAGAATCAGAGGAACGGGCACTTAACAAAGATTGTGTGCTTAACTAGCTTCCTCCATTTGAGAGCCTGTTTTTATCCCATCGTGGTAGGGTGAAATAATGAATTCATGGAGTGACACGGATGACTTTTGAGCGTGGCGTTTAGGGAAAGGCTGCTCTTGGGCTATGCTGTGTAGTCGTGGCAGAAACTCACGTGATGGGGTTCAGAGTGAGTTACCAGTGGACAGGAGTGGCAGCCTCTAACTCCCAGGTTACAGCGGGAAGGGACTGATAACGTTCCTCAGAGGCGCTGAGGGGTGGCAAACCGGTCCCAGGACACTGCTGAGGCTACACATTGGTCTCCTTGTTTCTAGGTCTGTACTCTTTCCACTGTGTCATGGAGACAAAAACAAAAACACCTCCTTTGCCCTAGCAAGACTTAGCTATAAAACATTAGGGAAACGCCAGGGGCCCCTGAAGCATACACATCTGCTTAGACTGGACAGAACCCGAGAGCTGAAATGATTAGGAATCTTCCTAGAGGTGGATGAGAGAACACTAGCTCCTAATTCTCTTTAATTCGATTTCTTCATTAGAGCTTAAGAAGGGAGCGCGATTTCCCTGATATGTGTTTCTGGCCACCTGCTCCATTCTGAGCCTGGAAACAAGACAACTGATGGATTTATTTTTTTGAAAGGCCTATTCCAGGTTGGGCTGAAAACCTAGCATCTGGGAAAAGAGGTAGCCAATTTCAGGCTTCCTTTCTGAAATTCCAACAGTCCTGGAAGTGTTTCAAGATCTTACTCAATCTTTACCTTGTTGGTTTAGGTTTTGTCACAAGCACTTTGTTACGAAAAGGGTGCTTAGAATTTGTAATCTCAGATCTATATGATGTTTATTTGCACGCTAAAAAGAAACCACATATTACAACGTGGGGAATTCAGTTCTGCAAAACTGCACGGAGAACATATATTGTAAAAACAGTCACAATTCTACATTTTTGAAGTTTGTGTTAAGATTGCCCCCCAAGCCGAAACCGGTTTTGCTCAGTGGGTAGAGCATCAGCCTGTGGACTGAAGGGTCCCAGGTTCTACTCAGGTCAGGGGCATGTACCTTGGTTGCAGGCACATCCCCAGCAGGCAGCTGATGGATGTTTCTCCCTCATCAATGTTTCTAACTCTCTATCCCTCTCCCTTCTTCTCTGTAAAAAATAAATAAATAAAATATTTTTTAAAAATTTAAAATAATGCCCCCAAATGACCTATTTACTTCAACCTGGGTACATGTTAAAAGGAAAAACAAAAACAAAAATACTTGACTTTTAAGAGTAAGAGATGTTAGGAGAAAATCCCTAGGAAATGAACACAGTCAGGAGGATGAAAATGCACAAGTGATGACACATTTGGGTCCAGCCCTAACCCCTTAAGGAGCTGACCTGTTGTTCCACCTTGTTTCCCCCCTTTACTGGATTTCACAAACCCAGGCCCCCTGAGACTGAGAGAAAGCCACTCTACTCCCCAGGAGGGCCTGGGGAGGTGTGCTCCCTCCACGCCTAGCCGCTTGGCTGTGAATGAGGACAGCGCTTCGCTCGCAAGCTGGCCTTAGAGCTTGTGAACGATCCCGTGCGTGCGCCTTGGAAAGCAAGGGGCCGGCAGGGATGATCCGATTCCCGGCCATCAGCGCCCGGGCCCGGGGCGGAGGCCAGCGCGGGCGGGAGCCCGGGGCGAGCAGGAGGCGATCCGGGGCCCCGCGCCCGGGAGGACGCACGTGGACAGGCTCCGGCCCCGGCGCGTTCTGCCCGCAGCGGTGCCCAGGGCCCCTCTCCTCCGGCGGAAGGTCCCACCCGGAGTCGCCTGCGGGGCTGGAGTCCCCTCCCGGGCGCCCCGGCGCGGGTCCCAGCGCCCTCCCGAGGCGCCCCGCGGCCCCGGGGCGTGCGGCGCGGGGCGGCCGGGCGGTCGGGCGGCGCGGGGCGGGGCTGGCTGCGGGGAAATGACGTCGCCGTCCCCGCGCTCCGGCCGCGAGCCGCGCGCCCCGGTAACGGCGCCCCGACTCCCGCGTCCCGCCCCGCCCCGCCCCCGCGCAGCAGCCCCGCCGCCGCCGCCCTCCGCAGCGCCCGCCGCCCCTCCGGCCCGGCACCAGCGGGAGCCGCACCTCCGGGCCCCGCCGGGCGCGAGCCCGAGTGCCGCCGCGGCCCGGGCCGTCGCCGCCGCCCATCCCGGGCGTCTGTCCCGCTCCGGGGTCGCCCGCCGCGGCCTCCGATCGGCGGGGCGCCCCGTCCCCGGGCGGGGGTGACCCGGGGGCGCCGGCCTCAGCGGCCCGAGGGCGCGGGGGGCCGGGTCCCCAGGCGGCCGCTCCGGCTCCTGCCTCCCGGACGCCGTTGCCCCGCGGGCCGCCTCCCGGGCGCGGGGGCAGGTGCCCGGGGCGCGGGGGCCGGGGCGCCCGCCGGGGTCGGCGGGGAGGATGGCGAGCCCGGGCATGAGCTGGCAGCAGCACTATCACGGCGGCCCGGCGGCCAAATCCGTGCCCTCGCAGCAGGCGGGGCACAGCCTGGACTACAGCCCGGACCTGCACCTAAAGATGAGCAAGAAGATCGCCCAGCTCACCAAGGTGAGGGCGCGGGGGCGCGGGGCGCACCTGCCGGCCGGGGGGCTGCCTGCGCGCCGCGCCCGGGGCCAGTGAGTGCGGCTGGTTTTTTGTTGTTTTTTTTTTTGGGGGGGGGGACTTGCCTCCGGGAGCCTTGGTTCAAACTTGGGGGGAATGCTGGCGACATCCATTTGCAGTTGACAGCCCAGAGGCACGGCCGGGTTTAGGGGACTTGAACCCCGGGCTTTTTAGGGTTTAGAGGGTTCAGAATAACTCTGTATCGACTTCCTTTATTCCACGGTCATCAGTCCCATTCATTTTGCTTGCCCGCCTGTGCCAAGCAGGGCATTCTACTCCGCCGAATGAGGTGCAGTGCCCTGGCTCCCCAACAGGACCCGGGATCTTGGGAGTTAATCAGTATCGCCTCTAGTTACTTGGGAATTTATCAGTATCTCCTAGTAGTTACTTGGGACTTAATCAGTATCTCCTAGTAGTTACCTGGTTAAAGGGAGAACAAACCTTGCAAGCAGTGTAGGAGGGTAACATGCACCTTGCTGGTCGTTTTGGGCATGTAATGAGTCATCCCTTATCCTGACAGTGTCACACCAGCTGTATTAGGTGAATCATGTCCGTATTTAGTTAACCGTCCCAGTCCATCCGAAGATAATTATCAGGAGGCCAACAGCCGGCACGTTTGGCCACCTGTAGTCTCGGATGATACTTGAAGAGCGTCACAGGCTTAGGGAACGCTGAGACAGAGAAGGAGTTGGCATCTGTGAAGCAAGAGCAACTGAGATAACCTCACCCTGTTTCAGATTTCAGGAGCAGTCTCTCAGTACCTGGTTGGGGGTTTCTGAAGATTAGTTGAAGTGATCGATCTTAATGCGGTTAAGTGCGTCCAACTAACCCCTTGTCAGGAGTGTCAGTATGCTGAAGGAAGGGGCATTGTGCGGCTTTATCACTAGGGAACCTCTAACGGAGGACTCTTTTTCACTCCAAAATTCTCAAATAATTCCATTACCAGTTGGCATCTTTGAGAGAGAAAAGTAGGACAGAGTTGGAAGAAAGGAAAAGAAGGACATGAGTGTGAAAAGGGGGTGAAGAGGATAAAAGGATTTTGGTGAAGACGTGATGGAGGGTAGGAAGGCAAGGACCACGAGGGACCAATGGGTGAGGGACCAAATGGGGAGACAGGCAGGGTGTACGCACTCAGCCACGCAAAGCAAGGCAGCGTTGGGGTGAAGTGTTGCTTTTGTTTTATGTCGGCGCTGACTTGGAGGCTGAGTATGTATCCAGTTCTTACTGTTTGCTCTTGTGACAGAGGGTCCCCGAATTCAGAGAAAGAAAGGCCCAAGAAGGAATGATGCTGTCCCACCCCAGCATGTATACCTTTGGGAGCCGCAAGCCAGGCTTCTGGCAATCGTGTTTGATCTTCAGAACATGGATGTCGAAAACGAAGCCCATGCATGTTTCTCTATTCCAATGTTCTCTTATGGTGTGTCTGCAACATCCATTGTTCTTATTTTATTTTATTTTATCTCATTTTGATTTCTTTATTGATTAAGATATCACATATTTGTCCTCATCCCCTCCATTCCCATCCCAAATCCCTCCCCACGCATGCTCCCATCCCCCTGTTGTCTGTACCATTGGTTAGGCTCATATGCATGCATACAAGCCCTTTGGTTGATCTCTCTCCCTCATCCCCACCCTCCCCTATCTTCTCTCTTCATTGTTCTTATTTTAGATTGTACCCCAGTGTCCTGCTCTAAGCAGTAGAAACCCTCAATACGTTGGTAGCGAATCTGTGTGCCGTTCTGCAAAAGAAGTTTCTCATCTCTCCAGTGAACTGCTTTTCTTTTTACTAAACTTCTTCAACTTCTTGTTCTTTTATAAAAAAAATATAAAGGAGCACAACTGTTTAAGGTGGGAGTGTGGTTAGCAGTTGCTGTCGCTGTCTCTCTTCACACTGCTGGCCTCACATCTAAGGAGGCAGGAGACTGCCCCCATGGCAGTGCCCTCATCCCGGCTTCGGTACCGCACCTAATCCTGACTGCTCCATGGACTCCTGGTTTGGTGTTTATAGTTACAGTCTCTAATACCTGCACCACCCACTCCAAGAAGTGCCTCAGACGTTGACACTCTCTCACTCGAGTTTCTCAACCGTGGCACTGTTGACATTTTGGGCTGGCCAGTTCTGTGTTGGGAAGGGGCAGGGCTGTGCTGTGTGTTGCAGGATGATTGGCAGGTGCTGCCTAGCGGGGTCCAGTAACACCCACCTCCCCACCTCTTACACAGTCGTGTTGATAAACATTGTCCAGATATTGACAGATGTACCTGGAGTGAGAGCTTGAGGGAGCATCCTAGATTGAGAAACACTGAGTTACATTGAAATGTCGAGGATTTCTCCCACCCTGTCTCATGCCTTTGTTTTTAAGATAAGGCGTGAGAATGAGACGTCGGATAAATAGGGTTTTGTGGCAGCCAACCCCCTTTAGTTTCCTAAGTTCACCATAAGACCTGCTTCTCTAATGTACCGTTCTGGAAACTGTCCCATTTACAATCACGTACACATTGTAAATACTCTAACATACAAATGCTAGCATGAGTAATAATACATCAACTGTTCAACCTCACTGGTATTTGCTGTATAGAATTTTCACTCATGATGAGTTTAATAATAAATTTTCATTAGTGTAGGTTTGTTAATAAAACTGTGGCTGGAACTTGACAATAGCTTATAATGTCTACGTCAAAGGTAGACATTATAAAGGTAACCGTTACATTGAAATGAGTCAGTAGAACCCAACTTTTCAGCGTTCTAGTCAGCACAGCTTGGTAATTTGACACACTGTCTTGGGTTCAAACATCTGCCCTACCACTTACTAGCAGGTCATTAAAGTCTGAGCCTCAGCTCCCTAGTCTTTCAAGAGAGATGATGATGCTATAACTCTTTGGGATACCAGACTCTTAATTCAGGCTGATATTAAGTAAAAGAGCTATCATATGATAACAAACAAAATATTAGTAAAATACTGGATAATGTATTTTTAGATGTTTCTCTTCTTTTCTTTTCTTTTTCTTTTTTAAATAAACCATTCTACATTTAATAGCATTATGGATATATCAATAGTACCTCTTTTGAGAATTTTCTGCTAAACTTTAAGAAAAATATGTATACTAATTTTTCATCTGTTTGAAAGTTTAACTTCTTCACAGTTAATTCTGCTTTGTTGTGGTACAGCATTGAAAAATACAACGTGCGTTTTGCAGAGATTTGGCTGGCTGTGAAAGAAAAAGGATGAAAGTAATCTGTATTATAATTTTGCACACAGTAGGGCTCAATCTATTTTTTAACTAAAAAGCCTCCTCCCAGCTGCAGATATATTGCTTGAGATCCTGTTTCCCAAGAGCCTGGCACAGCAGCCATCTCGTGGAAAGGAGGACAGCAGTCCTTTGAGCACCTGTGATGTGAGAGGCACTTCGCTAAGTGTTAGAGGCACAGCAGAGAGCAAGGCACAGTATCTGCCTTTAAAGCCAGTCGAGTATATGTAGCTTGCTCATGTCAGATTTTAAGAATATCTATTAGATTCTTTTAAAAATATATATATTTTATTGATTTTAGAGAGGAAGGAAGGAAGAGGGAGAGAGTGACAGAAGCATCAATGCTGAGAGAGAATCAGTGATTGGCTGCCTCCTGCACACCCCCCACTGGGGGAGCAAGCCCACCACCCAGGCATGTGCCTTGGCCGGAATCGAACCTGGGACCCTTCAGTCCGCAGGCCAATGCTCTATCCACTGAGCCAAACCAGCCAGGGCTATCTATTAGATTCTTGAATCATGTTGTGGCAAGTTTCTGGATTTGGTAATGGCTGAACCACCTCAGGAATGGCAGAGCAGCTGGGTGGATTGAATTCCGTTTTATAGATCACATTCGTGCACTTCCCTATTCTCCACTGCTTTGGCTTTTTAGTGCTTTGGGTTGAAAAGCAGGACGTGTGGGGTGTGATAATAAAAGCAGCTTTTGCTACCCACTATCCCTTCCAGCTTACTCTGTGAGGCCCGTTCACCCCCAGCCCAGGGATCAGCTTGACTTTTCTGGTTGTTTTAGATCATGCAGATTGTTCTTCGGTAGGTAAATTGCACAGGCCTCAATCTGAGGTTAATATGTCCTGTGCCAACAAATAAAAATCCCGCAGCAGCTGAGCTAAGGATTGAGCTTCTCCCCCGTGCCCACTCCCTAGCTCTGCCGTTGCCAGGAGGAAGCCAGTAACTGGGGAGGGGGCATGATGACTTTTTTCTTCTGATCGGGCTTGCTGCTCCCGCTTTGTCTTACCAGTCCTGGTTTCTGACCCCTCCCAAGCTGGACAAGGGAGCAGGGAAGCGAGGAGAGAGGAGCAGCAGATGTAATTTCCCTAACTTCCACCTCAGTTGTTCGAGAGCCCTCACCTCACGTTGCTTGGCACTGAGAACGTGTCTGAATTCTGGCTGGTTGCTTGCTCCTTCTTCAGCCTCTCAGACCTGGCAGGGACCTTCACGCTCGCTCTGCTGAGGTCTGTTCAAGCTCCAGGTAACCCTCCTGGATGGATGTGGGGGACCCCACCCCGGCTTCCTCTGTCTCTTTCCCTGAAGGCACACATCGGTCGGTAGGTAGCCCCCATCCTTTGCCCAGGCAGCCTCTGGAAGAGGTCCCAATTCAGCCATCGCTCATTTGCCCTCACAAGCCTCTTTATCCAGCGCCTCATCTTCAGATTTCCCGGGGATGAATGAGATATCAGTTCAGTTAGTATGTTCTTCATCGTGTGTGAGACACACCAAGCTCTTCAAGTGGTCCCATCCGAAGCTTTTCCCTAGACTTTAGGTGAAGGGTAAGCATCCACCTCCACCTTTTTGGGGGGTGGGAGAGCAAGAACACTTGTGCCCAAGGAACACTGCTCCAAAACCCTCCTTGGTGGCCTGGAGGCTTCCCTCCTTGGTGTGGGGGGTAGGAGGTGACACGCCTCAGCCCCTCTCTCGGTAGACTG